CCCTACCATAATAATAATTCTGATTACCCAGTATGATATGATATGATATCAGAGTAGTGGTCCATAATAATGTTACAAAATCATAGGCATGTTACAAACTATCTAGGCCTGAAGTGAAAAATACATAATAGAGACTGTCTAATACAATCCTCACACTAAAAGCAGTCTTGATAACCCAAACCCTTTAATATAAATCTTAATTTTTCTTTACTAGCTATTTACATAATCAGGTCTTGGCAGTAATTTTACACAGCCACATGTAACACCTATATTTCAGCCTCGTGTACGTTTTGAAGGGCACGCACCATACGATGGATCTCCAGGGTGGGATTTTGAATTGACTGCTAATTTGTTGGCAGGGGGTGCTCTGGCTGGGTGATATATTTTCGAGTTCCCACCCCCCCCCCTCTGAAGTTCGGGGTTTTTTTCTTGGAGAGGGTTATGCTCTCAAAAGCTTCTTGCACTATACTTACCCAATCACGTCTTGAACTCCGTAGACTTACTGTTGGGATCCTGGATCTTTGCAGGTGATTATATGTGATCCCACTGTTACCGCCCTGATGGGTTAGGGGATATGACGACAGCTCGGACTAACCGCGCTTGATATCTGTAAGCAATCCTTCACAAAAGTATGGTACTCGGTGTGGTCCTCGTAATCGAGCGACGCTCTCTAACACGAATATTTTTGCGCAACACGCAGATATGAGAAAAAGGATGAGGTTGTGTATACGAATGCCGTTCAGTGACGAGCATGGCAGTGGCTTATATTCCACTCAAACTCTTCCCCGGACTCCCCAAAGGTCAGTCCAAAATGCTCCTCCCCGACCTCCCCACTGAATTGCTTTTCGAAATATGCTCCTCACCCGTGCTGGACATACCGGATATAGTCTCCGCCCTGAAAACATGCCGCCGACTGGCACTCGCCCTGGCGCCGATTCTTATTAGAGAGGTATTGAAGCGGCGCAGCAACGAATACTGCAGGAGAGCCCTCTATCATGCCGCGGAAATCCCGAGCCACTTTACCGTCAGGTTTCTGCTGGATAATGGAGCCCTGGATATCCTCTTCATTGGCCCCGTACTTCTCAACATTGCAGCGTGCATCCTGAGCGAAAAGGGGGTGACGACCCTGTTGGATTGCGGCGTCGACCCGAACACCCTCGATGGGCGAGGCCGCACTCCTCTCATGTGTGCAACGGGGGCCAGGGTCGGGGGTGGCGTGAGAGCACTATTGGCCAACGCTAGGGTGGACGTGGGGAGTACTTGGCTTTTCCCCGATTTCACAGCCTTGCATCTAGCTGTCTGGTCCGGGTACGATGACATTGTGCCATTGTTTTTGGAAAGCCCTAGGATAGATGTGAACAGGGTGGACAACATTCAAGGGACGGTATTAGAGGCCATTTCATCTGACTCTAATACTCGGGTGATGGCAACTTTCGTCGGCTCCACAATACTCAGCTTGAGGATTCCTTTGAGAAGGGGGTGGGCGCCTCTACATGGCGCAGTCCTCTGGAATGACTGCATAATTCTTAGGGCTTTACTTAGGGATGAAAGAACTGACGTTAACGTTCTGTCCTTGGAGGGGGAGACGGCATTGTGTATGAGTGTTAGATTTAATAACACGTTCGCAGTACGATTGCTGCTGGCCCACCCCAAAATCCAAATTCATCTAGGAGTTCGATCGATCCTGCATTTCGCCGTTCCGTGGGCAACGAAAGCTGTGATGGAGATCCTACTGGAGGACAAAAGGATAGATGTTAATTTGGTTGACCAAGGTCAAAGAACTGCATTACATCTCGCCGCGGCTCTCGGGAGGGCAGATGTTGTCGAATCGTTGCTAGATCGCGACGGTATCGATGCCGAAATCCTTGATGAGGAGGGACGCTCGGCAATGGGTTTGTTGCTTTCTAGAGCTCCAAAGCTTGCAAGATGGTTTACCATCAAGTTGATTCTAGAGAATAAGGGGATAGAATACCTTGATCTTGAATTGGGACTTTGAATGGATGAATGAAAGTGAAGTGATACAGCAATGGCTAGAATGGATGATGCTGTATTTTTTTTGAGGTTTCTGGAAGGACCTTTATGGCATTAGGGTGGTTTTTATCCTGGATGTATAAGTTTTTTGATTTGATGATCCTGTGTGGGTGAGATGGGACTGTGTGGGAACTCACGGTAAACAAAACCTCCCGAGAAATCTAGTTTTTGTTCTATACTTTAAGCAGTGTTCGTTGCTTGTTAGCTTATTTTCTCTTGTATGGCCTTGGCTTCTAAGTCACTCTGGACCTCCTGTTTAAAATGCTTTTTCCATGAATGTTTACCTGGGATGTTGGAATGATTAGGTGTCCCTTATGCTGTCTGCGGAATCAAAAACTCCCCTCCGTGTTCTGTCTGGTTTCTTTCTGACTGATGACCGTGTCCTCCTTTTTTTCAACTATAGTTAGCGCCCGGAAAAGCCGAGGCAGAAGCCGGAAGTATGCCCAACGTCTGAGGAGAACCAACAGGCGCCTAATGAGTGAGGTACACAAGGGGTAGAGCCTTCTCAAAGTAGAGAAGGCCCAGGAATATAGGGGAGTATCGGGGTTGGTTCAGGCTAGGGTGAGAAGCAAATTTAGGAGCGAAATGCGGGTTATATTTTTGGGAAACACTCACGAGCACTCGTGTTTAGCCCCGACGTTTCGTTCGTGATAAGTTCCAGCGGCGGTTATACCCCTGGTTTCGTTTCCGAGGGATCCGCTGCCCAAATCGGTCTGTTTTCTGCCTTGAGGCTGGTGCTGAAGTTCCGTATTGCATATTATCGGAGACGTCAGGGATTCAGAGCGGATGCCAGGACTGGACCTAGATATCTGTTGGCACACAGGCTCTTCTTCATGAAACCCTCGAATCCTTCGTTGGAGTCTTTATTTCGCTCCCGATCGAGGTCTTGGTATTGGCTGGTTGTTGCTGCTCACCTTGCTCGTCTTGTCCTCACACTCTTGGTCTGTGGGTGGCGGGTTCGGGGGAGGTCCGGTGAACTGTTTTCATAAATATCATAGCTATGATAGGACCTATTTGCTTCCTGTGGTTTTGTACTCTCTATCTGGATGTTTATTCGATGAGTATTGATAGTTTCTACCTCACAGGGTATCATCACTTCTGCTATGATACCAGTTACCCCATATTGCTACATTTTTGTTCCCGCTGAGCCTTTCTCTCTGGGCACTAGGTGGAGGTAAATTTACCCCCTGGATGGAGTTCGAGTGATGGACTATGATGTTAGGGTATTATGAACAGCTTTCGGTGGGGAGTCCAGGGCTCAAGGGTGGAGTAAGAAAAACCTCAGGCGGTCAAGTACGGTGTATTCAAGGACGAGAAATTAGCCGAGATGGGGGTACGGTTTATGCACGGAGGGAAGTGCTGTATACTTGGGGCTTTCTATAAGAAATTCGATGGGATGACTTGGTATTAATTGACTTGATAGTATCTGCGATGAGATATTCCTCTTGCAAAAACCAGTATGGTAGTTGGCTAGGTGAGTGTTATGGGACGACCCGAGTTTTTTTCTTTTTCTTTTTTTCTTCAGAAATTCAGCACTCCTAAGAATACAATGTCATGATACCACTCTATCGACTAATAGTGTCTAGGAGAATGATGCAGTTCTTGAAGTAGGCAGTGTATTCCAATCTTGGGAGTGGGGCTCCGTGCGCTCTGGCCTCATAAAAGAACCAAAGCATTCATGGAAGCAGTACAGTACAGTGTCTGGCCTGAGTCAATACATGTTATACCCGGGTTCGGTTTGCTAGCGGAGTTGTACTGCAATTGGCTTTCGAACGACACTTGATGGGTTTCATCGTGTGAGGGACGGGTTCACAGCGACATGTAGATGATCGCTGGAAGGGGTGTGGTAAAGGGTGTCTATTGAATAATGGTAGCGCGGTAGGTCCAGATATGAGAGTAAAAAGTGGGTATATATAGCAAGAATTAACAATCTCCGTGCGAGTTAGGAGAAGCTTGAGCCCTTCATGTTGAGTGTCCCGAGAAGATAACTTATCTCTCAACAAGCAAGTTTTCAACCAATTTAGTGTTGGGAAGTTTCAATTGCTTTTCCAGATACGCGGGGGCAAAAACAATTGCCTTCCTCCCTCACTTTGTTCTATGATACCACTCCCGTTGATCGTAGACCTGATCTTAAGATGTATTGTCTGGAATCCGACTCTCCCACCCCGTATTATAGCAGGCCTGATCCTACGCTGCAGCCATTCGAGGGACGCTAAAGTCTTCAATCCCCCGCTTCCCAAGGGACAGGATTTCTTAATTCTCCTGGGCTCCTGCTAATTGCGCAGGCGCTAACTGTTCTTGAGATCGTTGCCACCGCACCATCTAGATATCTCACATAATCTCACCGTCGGAGTGATTGTTTATCCTGCTGGCCGGCGGTTTTTTTTGTCTGATAACGGCAGCAATATTGCGTTATTAAACATAATAATTATTGTAGAGTCAAAAAAATGTTCAGGAGGGGAGAGATTATACATTTTTATAACTGATTGCTGAATTAGCAACAAGCTCCCTTCCCGCTCAAAGGAGTAATCATGGTCGGAATATCAACAGCGGAGGCAGTGTTCGGCACGAGGATCCTCGCAGGGAGTCGGTAATTAACGGGTAGGCCCCTAGATTCGTCGGGGGGGTTATCCTCATGGTCCCCGGGGATTGTAAAATCGTCCTCGAGGTTACTAGTGTATACCAGACGTTTTAATTTCTAAAGGGGGTGTGACCAGAATATGGTCAAGGAAAAATAAGACAAGAGAGCCCCAGAAATAGTGTCAACTTCATAAAAAATCTCCTTCACTATCAGGAACACCGAAATATATGGCTCGTAAATGCCCAAATAAACACTCAGATTTGGGGACCAATCCTCTCTAATGCGACCCCAAATCAGCTCCTCAGGATTGTAAGGTACCATAATGTCGCGGGGCCGTATTTGCAGAACTGTGTGGAGTCTCACTTTTGTCTTCCCGCTATTTATCTACTAGTACCCTCGCTTCACTCAAGTCTTCATAAATACTCACTCGTATTTAGTTATTTTGTTTTTCTGTCGACATCGTTAGCCGGGAGATCTTCGAAGCGCCTCGCCCCGTGCTATAGTAGACACTAAGCGGCGCAGGGGAAGGATCTGCCGGGGATGTGATAAGGCGGGACTTGCCCAGGAATCTACGTGAAAAAGCGTGAACCCCCCCCCCCCCGCGCCACCATTACACACAGTCGGCGTCGAGTGGGAATTTGTAAACTGCAATATGATATTAACATGGGTAATCCGATACCGGTAGTACACCTCCCTCGGAATACGTAAAAATTAAAAAAAAGGCAATAGAGCCCCGGAATATTGCGTTCCCCAATTCATAAACATTTTCTTAATTTCCCCTAACGGGAGATAGATACTGACAGCACTCACTGTTGTGTTGATTAATCGACGATTTTCCGTTGGCCTGAGCGTAACACTGTCTACTCGAGTAGCGATAATTACCCCGACATACCGGTATTAACGGTAATATTTCCCACCGCTGAATGCATTGGTGGGCCCGGGGAGAGGGTGCCAGAGGGAGGAGTCTTGAATCTCTGGTTTTGGCACAAAAGAGGGCGGGTAGCGTGCACTGTCGGGGGTATCTTCTATTCTCCACTCCCCCGAATCTCATCTCCCATTTGTCAGATTATTGGAACATTCATCTCCCCGGTCTGGTCCTCTTCCGGGTCCAATGTCCCAGTCGGTCGATCCCTCAGGGAAGAGGAAAAAAAAAAAAAACATTATCAAAATTTGGTAAAGTGTTGTTAAAGTGGATCCGATGGTATTAGGAAACTTATACGGGATAACAATTGGGCTGGGCCGACTTGTGCTAGGCGAAATTATAAACTACTTGTATTTTGCTGATTACCAACTCTATAACTTAAACAATCCAATCACGACCGGTGGGAAGAGGCGGGTCAATAGAAGACTCCAAACAAAACAGAAAACAGCAGATGGAAGCCAGCAAAAACCAAAACATCCTCCGGGACATACCGGTAGATATATGTACACAACACGTGTACCACTTCATTGCCCATTCGCCAACGCCCCAACACCCCGAGGGAGAATCACGTCCCTTTTGACATCCTCGTCTACACACTTCCATAGCACGTCTACCAACTCTTTAAACACCTGCTCAGGGGCATCCACGGCCCAGATAACGTCCAGGTGCTCATATTCCTCAATAACTTTCGCATGCACAAGGTTGACATCTGGTTCCTTGCCCCTTTCGAAGCGTCTGATGAGCCTCGGACCATCAACTAAGTCATCATTGCCCGCGACCCAGAACGCCATCGGGGGACAGCGGCCGTCGTACCACGGCCCTCCATTGGTAGATGGTGACGGTGACAACCCTTTGCCCTGGTCACTACCCCCCTCCTTCCGTTCATTTTCTAGCTCTTTCTGTTTTTCCTGCCTCATTATGCCTTCTCTCTCTAGGTCGACTTCCTCCTCTTCGCTTTTGGTAGATAATATGCATTTATGCCTTGCAAAGCACTCACGGCCAAGCCACCATCTCATCGCCTCGGCGGAGACAAATACAGGTGCGAATTGAAAGAATCTGTCGCGGAGGCCTTTATCCCAGCGGGCGTCGCTCCAGCCGAAAAGGAACCAGAACACACGGTATCCTAGCGCGCCGTATACTCGCGCGGGCAGGGTGGCGTGCATGAGCATCATGAAGGGGATGAAAGCGTGGATGCCAAAGACTATTCGGAACATGGAGGGAGATATGATCTTCATGAATTTGAAGTAGAGTTTATCAATCAGCGGCCCCGCGTATGCTGCTGGGGCGAGTGCGCAGAAGACGGATATTTTTGAACCAATGTCTGGGCGCTGTTGCTTTGCTAGGGCTACGAAGGCTTGGGTAGTGCCTTGGGAATGGCAGATAAGGCCGAGTTTAGGGAAGCGGGTTGTCGAGAGAACATGGTCTATTAAGGCGGGGAGATCGATTATCCCCATTTGTCGGATGTTCCAAGCCCACATTCTAGGATCGGAGTAGCGGAGGATTGTGTGCTTGGGTTTGAAGCCGCAGCGGCTGTTCCCGAGCCAAACGTCATAGCCTCTGTTATCACGTTGGGTCAGAAAATTTGGCGTGCTGGACCCGCGGGAACTTACGCCTTGCATAAATAGAATGCTAAACTATCCTCATCATTGACACAAAAAGCACCGGAGCTCTGAAGAAGCCCATGCATAAGCAAAACGGGATATTTTCTCCTCTTCCCATTCGTATTTCTCGCTCTATCATTCCCACCGGTTTTCTCACCCAGGTAGCAGGGGGGGTCATCCGGATCATATATATGCTGCATCATAATCAAGAACCCGTCTTCCGTCCGAACCTCGAACTCCTCCGCGTCCAGCCCAGCCCTTCTAGCATAATACCCGACATCACACACCAGATTATCCTTTCCCCCAGCAATCTGTTTATTCCTCAATCCCCTCTCACCACCCTGATCCCCCGCACTCTGTGAATCCCTCCGCCGAGCCTTCCAAGCCTTAATCTCCTCCCTCCGCTTTCTTGCACGATCTCTCTCAATCTTGTAGAACGGTCTCGTAGCGTTTGGATTCTGACCACGTAGCAGACTGACCAAACTCACGAGCACCGGGGGTAGTGACTTAACAATGGCTCCTATGATAATGATAAATAAAAAACAAAGCGACAGCACCCCGCTACAGACGCGAAAAACCACGCATTGCAGTCTCCGCAGGAACGTGGGGGGTCCATAAACCGGCAATGGAGGGAACAAGGGATGAGTGAAAGCAGGGGCTTTTTCGATATTGGTATTCCCCACACACACACCTCGTTCTCCTGCAGTGTTCAGGCACTCACCAGCTTTTTGCAGCTTGTTCTTTGCGGTATCTCGAGGTCCGGGCGACAATGCCCTCCGCTGGTCCTTCGCCCCAACGGGAGGACCAAAGTTTCCGTTCCCCCTGTGCTCCCCCTTTTCACTTCGTAACGCGTTCAATTTCCTCGCCTCCTCGATCGGTACGCCGGGCAATCTGTGCCTATCCGCCGTCTCGATCACTGTATCGGTGGACGTGATTTCAATGGCCCGATACGCGGAGCCAGCGTTGTCTGATAGGTCCGGAGTCCCCGGCGACGCGGAGGCATTCTCCAGCGACCTTTTTGGTGAATTGGAGGAGACCATGTTTGCTCACTCAGACATCTCACTCTCTTTGACAAATTCGTGATGTTCAACCAGAGAGGGTGGAGATGGTTGGGGCGAGTACCGTATGCAAGGAAGAAAAGGACTAGGCTTGGAACGTGAGTTAATCATGATCCTCGACAAGGGTAGAAGATGACCTCCTGATGTCAGCGGCTGAAGTAATGCGCTGCAACTCCAATTCCCCTTCCGAGTAGATTTTACATGTGATACGAAAGATCCACTGGACTCTCCCTCCAGTCCCGACACGCGGAGAGTGAAGGTTTTATTTGACACGGAGAAAATCATCACCAAAATTTGGAACACAGTACAAGTACCGGTATTATAACCTTATTTAAGCTAAGCCTCCCCAAGCAATCTTATTTCTCCCGCGAGATGGCTTAATCTATCGAGGGCCACCCCCTGCAGCAACAGTTTTCCCGTTTCAGGGTTAGGGTTAATTGTTGTTGCTGGCTTCTCCTCTGAAACAGCTGATCCCGCAGCTTTATGCTTACCACGATATAAATATCGTATCATGAACAATTCGTAGCGATCGACGGAGGGGGGGAGGGGTTAGCCTATCAAGCCTAGAACGCTAACCCCCCAGCCTCCGGGGTCCCAGGCCCGAGGGTTCGCGGAGCCTAAAAACGCCGATCAAACAAAGCGGGGCGAAGGGGGGAAGTAAGATCCTCACTCACAGCCACCGTAATAGCAGAGGTATGTTACTGTATATTATATTATCATCCCAGTCCCGTTGCCCAAAGCCTTACCGGTAGAGCTGAAAATCCGCCGGGGTGGGGGAAGAAACACTAAAAACTTATATGCTTACATTACACCTCGCCAGTCGGTTCCGACTCCAACGCCGTCCGTTTCGTCCGGCATAAACTAACTTCGGGAGTTTGGTATCGTGGCTATAGTACAGTACATAGACTGCTATACTACCGTAGACCCTTCGCCTCCTCCAGTGAAACTACCGCTCAAGGCGGGGGGGTCTGGCTGGCGTCACAGCCGCGGAGTCTCGGATTGATTTGAGGCCGGGGGCGTACGAGTCATTTCCTATCCCTCCCTTGGGCGCTAGGTACCGTATGATAGCTGCACTGTACCGTGCTCGAACAGCCCACCCGGAATATGAGAGCGCTTATAGCGTAAGAGGTTGTTTGGCGTAAACGTCCGGTGATACGGAAATGGGCGTGGTGGGCGTTTTCGCGGATGGCACTGTGTGCCCTTCTAGTAAGGTGCCCTACTGTGTCGCAGCTTAGGCCCTAGCACCGGGAAGTTACAGATGATGCGGTGATGGGATTGTCCAGTGACGGCAAGAAGTGGCGCTTGATGCCCCGTGCGTAGTGGGCCTTACCGGGTTTGAGGTACTTGTACTCGTACCTGTCATGCGGGCGGGACCACCGTAAGTATGATAGGCATTTAGGCATGCTGGGAGAGAGTACCGGTAGTCACCTGAGCTCCTGGGGGGGGGACCGTCCCGCTGGACCTCGCAAGGGAAAACAATAATAGGAAAAACCCGACACAAACTCCCATCAAGTGATGTACTGTGCCGGTACGGCCATACAGTTTTAACACAGACAAGGAAATGAAATTTCATCGCCCCATACCGGCATAACCCCCACCGTCTCCTCCTCCTCCTGCCCATCAAATACCTACTCTTGTCACCAGAACGCACCACTTAAATCACCCCAGGTATTACAACAACTGTCTTATCTTACCCCATATTTCGCAAGACCCCTCCGAGCTCCTACCCTCCCTCCCTCCCTCCCTCCATTGCTTTTTTTTCCCCACAGAATGAAAAAAACATAAGCCAACACAGCCCAACGAAGCCACCTCACTCACTCCCTCTTTCGGGTCCTCTAGTAGCTTTCAACCCATCCACATCCACCCTAGAACCGCCAAAGTCTCTCTCTCGCGAGTGGGCACGAACCAACCCTCAAACCGATATACACGAGTATGATACTCACCACGTTCCCACATGATACTAAACATCCTTATTCACAGGGGGGGGGGGTTAACGTGTCGAAGAGCACGAGTGAGTTCTCATGACCAGCAAACGACCACCGCCCCAATCATCCACCCATCCATCCATCCATCCATCCATCCATCCATCCATCCATCCATCCATCCATCCATCCACCAACTTCCAAACTACCGGGTAGGAAGTAGCTGAAAGTAAATGGACAGATCCCAGCAGGACCACCACAGCACAGTACAGATAGCCTAAATGATCTTCCACGCGTGCAGGGTACCTACTTGTACTGTACTTACCCACATACAGTACCCACCCAATCATCCACACCCACCCGTTACGCTACGGTAGGGGACAAAGTAGACTACCGTACCGTTTACTTGCACAGCACAACAACATGGGTAATCTAGGATAACTCAGTTGGCACCTTAGTTATGGTAGAACACGATAGAGGTTTCATCCATCCTTCGCCATCCCCCGCCCCACCTTACTACATATCATATCATACGGTACGAGTACAGTACAGTACTGTACGAGTATGATACTCGCACACACCCACCCACCCACCAACCAACCAACCGACCACCCCAAAAATCAATCAACCACGCGTCCATCCGTTACTCAGCGTCCTAAACGGGCCTTAACCGCCACGCCGCCACGCCGCCGCCGCCGCCGCCCGTCTTCGTCGCCTTCGCTCCCTCCTAATTTGGAAAGTCGGTCGGTGGGAAAAGCACAGCACAGCACAGCACAGCACATATCACCATAACTTACTGTACTAGTACTAGTACTGTACTCGGCTACTGTGCACGCTAACTTAAACTTACGGAAATTAAAAAAAGTCGATATCGTACGGAATTCTAATTTTTATAAATAAGAATGAAGAAATAAAAATAAATGTAAAAAAAAAGAAGCCACAATATGGTACCTCAGCCCCCCAAGACATGGGAGAGAAAGGGGAGAAAAGGGAGAAAAGGGGCAAGCAAACGAGCAAGTAGAATTGGCATCACAAGGGAGGTAAAAAAATAAAAATAAAAAGCGAACCAGGTAAAGTATCATATGTAAGTGCGATGGTGATGGTAAATTATATCGTACAAGAGGTAAAAAAAAAAAAAAAAAGGAAAACATTCGAGTGAGAGGGGGAGAAAAGATCGCTGACGAACAAAAACAACGAAACGAAACCCATATCGTACCAACACTCCAGACACCGAAAAGGGACTGTACTGACAAAGAAAATAAAAAGAAAGCGTGGAAAGAGCCTGCGAGTATGAAACGTAGAAAGAAAAAAAGATACAAGGTATAGGGAGAAGAAAAAAAAGAAAAAAAGAAAAAAAAAGAGGAAGTCTTCTGGAATGAGCAGAGAAAAACATTAGCCCAAGTCCGTAATATTGTACGATAATCCCAAAGTCCCACCAAACCAAACCAACCAAACCGGCCAAATCAGTCTACCCTATACCATTTCCGGAATTTTATGGACATAAGGAAAAGGCTGGAGAGAGAGCTTTTTTTTTGTTCCAAAGAGCCAATCAGAGATATCATACGAGAACCGCTCGTGAGAAAGAAGAAAAGTGTACCATAATAAACCCCACCGTACCAATGATATAAAACAGAAATGAAAGAAAAATATATATATAAATATAAATCCAAAGTACGCCAACCCTAATGCTCCCCAGCAAACATTGGTTTTCTAGCCCATCCGACCAAACACCTCCACCCAGAACCCTTCTCTCTCCCCTCCTCGAGCACGTCTCCGATTGTGTCGGTAGTGAGATCGCACTCGCCATCACTCTCTCCCTCGGTTTTCATCATCCACTTCTCCCAAATCCAACTGCCTACCAACCCAGTGATAGGAGAAACGTTTTCCACGCTGCCGCCCCCGGCATTGGGATCTTCCCATGCCTTGAGCTTCCTACGGACCTCCTCTTTGACCATTTCCAGATCCTGTGACTCGTGTGGTGGTAACTGCATCTCGCCCTTAGAGGGTACTTTCGGTTTGGCACAGGGTGGGGACATAGGGAGGAATATCCAGCTGCGCTTAATTTCGCCAAAACCGGCCCTATTCAGGCGGGAAACCCAGCGTTTTGTAGGAGCCGCATCGTAGCCTTTTGACTCGAGAACTTTGGAGAACTTGGCTGCGAGCTTAGCTCCGAGTGGTCCTGCGTTTACAATGTCATTGTCGAAGAGGGAGAACTCGAGATGTCCACCCGGCTTCAGTACGCGGAGGCACTCCTCAAGGCAGAGGTCATATTCGTCCATATCGTTGTCTGGTGAGTTCGCTGGGACGGTTGCCTTTAGCGCTAGGTACAGAGTGCGCGCCGAGACCACGTCAAAGTGGTTCTGAGGGAATGGGAGTTTCCACAGCTTGGACACCACGAGCGGGCGGTGGTTCTGCGGCCCCCGGCACTTATCCGGGGTCCTAGAGGCCTTCTCTTCACCTTCGGGCTGTTGCCTTGGTCGAGACGCGGTTGTTACGGTGTAAACCTTTGCTTTTGGGTAGTCATAGGCACAATGCCATCCCCAGTCGGCTACATAAATTATTAGTGGGCATTTTCCGATATGCACCAAATTGTGGAATTCATACCAATAGGTGCTCCACCGAGATCTAGGACACGCCTGCGCTCATGGCTTCCTGTATAGATTCCGCTTGATACGTTCTCGAGCATCTGCGTAGCACGCTGATCCATTTTTGTAGTCGCACGTCTGGTCAGACGCTTTGCGGAAGCGGCCAACAAAGTCTCGTGTCCGGGGCTGATAACAACTCTGCCAAAGTTCATCCACCTCAGTGCCATCAAGGCCCATAAACTAGTCAAGATCCCTTCTTCAGCCTCTCGTTGTCGGACGGTAGCAGTAACGACCTCATCCGGCGATCCTGATCTCGCCTTCTTGCCCGATGCAAGGAGAGGGTAATCGCTTCTTAGATGATTACATATTCTCTGTGCTTGTAGAGCATCGAAGCGAGGCATACGGTGAATGAAAGGGTCGCTATCGCCGGACCTTTTGACAAAGCCCCTAAACGCCTTGAGATATGAGGAGTCGGTCTTTGGAGTCTCCTCTTTCTCGATTGCGCTAGTAGCTGGCTTCTCATCCCCCTCGTTTTTAATCGTCTTTGGGGATGACGATCCCTGATTAGTAGTGCTGGTAATAGGTGAAAGAATAACGGTAGCTCGGTTGTTTGTCTCACCCGCAGTATCCGCTTCCGTGTCCTTTTCCGCGGTCGCCGAATACTCCGGTAGGGTATCCTTAGAATCTCGAGTTTTATCAACAATCTTCCTCTCCTCTTCGGTCTTCTTCGCAGAATCCGTTGTCTCGAGTTGGTTGAGTGGACACTCGATAGGGTTCTCGGTTGCGGCTGATAAATCCCCTGGATTCTCGGCTATGACCTCTTCCACTGTAACCTCTGTCATTTCCGTCTCCTTTACTATCGTATTCTCCAGATCCGAGCTGCTGCTGTCTTTTGCGGAAAACAGTGGAACTACTCCGACTCCTGGTTCTTCGTCGAACAACACTGACATGCTCTTAGCGATGGTTTCATCATAGGAGTCCGTCTTCGCCGCTGGTTGACGTGGTGTATAAGACCTGTTCGTAAGCGCTGGGCTGCCGGTCGCGTGATCGGCGATTCCACACCATGTATCCGAAGCGCCGGGGATAAATGACGAGTAGAATAATGTTGGGGACGGAATGTTGATGATGCCCAAGCCTTCAGGTATCGAAGTCGGCCGGTTAGGGATCTTGCTCAATCTTTTTGTGAAGCGCTTGTCTTGAACGTCTGGCGTTGGTGGTGGGGGTCGGCGAGGCGGAGATGCTTCGGAAGTGGTCGATTTCACCTGCGGCACGTATTCGGGATCCACGCATTCCGTGTCGAGGAACAAGGTTGGCTTTGGAGGAGGTGTTGGAGGCGTCGAGACAACGGTGGTAGCCGTGAGACTACCCTGTTCCTCTAGCGATGTTGTTGAACTGCGAGGAGGGGTGGTAGTGGTAACAACGAGTGACCTTCTAAACTTTGGGGGAGGTGTTGGAGGTGTATCAGACAGCGAACCGCTGGATGTGTTTCTCCGGTGGCTCATTGGGACGCTTCGGGGTGGACTTCTTGTTCTGGGACTAATTCGTGGGCTAAAACTATCCACACTCTCCTTGATCCTCAGTAAGTAGTACCCATCCTCGTCGTCATTCCCGTCCGCATCCGAAGGATGCGACGATAGATCCTCCTCAGAGTTGACGGAATCCTCTAGGGAATCATCGAAAAGATACTCGTATTCCTGGTATAACGCATCCTGACCATGAGCGCCAAACGCCGGTCTCGTTCGGTTTTTCCGAAAGGTGGTCGGGTCAAAGTCTGGGTCGAGGTAAGAAGGGGAATTCTTCCGTGGCCTTCGCCCAAGGAAACCTTTCGAGCCCTTTGCCATGACTGAACTAGCCGGCGCACTTGTTGCAGTCAAGGAAGCAGTTGGCGAGCCGGACCTCTTACCGAAAAATCCCTTGTGCATTCTTGAAGCCCGTGGAGATGTCGAGGTCGAAGAGTCAGTCGAGCCCCAAGGAGAGAATGGTCGCGGGAGTGGTTCTGTGACTGCCATTGAAGTAGCAGGCGATGTGGGATTATTTGCAGGATCTGACATTGAGGGATACATAGCAGACGTAGCCCGCCTGGGGGACCTTGCCCTGGTATTGATTTTGAACATATTGAGGGGAGGGAACAGTGAAGGAGAAGGGACACCCGACGAGAGGGATCTGGAACGAGTACCGGTAGAGGTCCTAGCAGCAGATGGTGGGTCCGATAGTGAGGGAACCAGAAGGGAAGGAGACCAGGCTATATTACTTGGACGGGGGGGGGAATGGTTGCTAGTAGTAGTATTGCTAGTTTCTGGGGACGGGAACCGTGTGGGAGTGAGCGAGTGATGGCTCGTCGAAGAATTCCCGAAGTCGTCGATTGGAGAAGCGGCGCTATGGCCTTTCTCGGCGCTCAGACGTAGTAGGGGTGGTGGACGATTCCTCATTTGAAGGGTTCTTCAGGTTCGGTGTTATAGGAATATTAAACACTTATTACCCACCGGCGGGGCGGATTGCAGATGGCCAGGGTAAGAGGCCGTTACGGCGTGCAGCCTCAGGCAGAGTTACTTTTTCGCGAGCGCTGTACTAGTAGCTGTACAAAAATCAACTGGGACCCCGAACCGGTCGTCGATAAACAAGAAGAGGTTAAGAAGGGGGGAGGTTGAGGACAAAGTAGCTGGGGTACGATAGTCAGCTAGTGTGTAGAGGGGGGGGGGCTGTCGCAGTTGTGGAGCAACCGTGATCCTTAGCTTGCGCTCCGGCACAACCCTCCAGGGCTTATGGGGTTTTTTTTTTAATTTTATTTAGTCAGATCTTAGGATATGTATTGGGTCGACAAACCAAAGGGCTGATGGTCAGGCCTTTCAGGAACGAAAGCTTTCGAAGGGCGGGAAACAGGAGAAATGAAATCGCCGGAATAAACTTTCGGGGGGGAAGATGTCCAGGAAGGGGGATGAGAGGAATATCTAGTAGCAGGCAGCGGACAGACATCCACCCAAAAGCGCGGTATGGACACAGCCAAAGACACGAGCATTAGGATCACCATGCCTTGCTGTAGAGCGATATTACATTTGCTTAACTCCTGTCTGCTGCTGCCCCTTCACGGCCAAAACCTTCCGCATAGGCACATCATCCTGTTTTTCCTTTTTCCATTCCTTTGAACTGGAGCACACCTTTTTTTTTTTTTTTCCTTGCCTTGCCCTCAGATCAGAGATTAGAGAGGAGAGCAAGCAGGCCTCGAAATGATTATGCAAGTAAGCGACCTCTAAATCGGTGTCTATAACGACGAGTGTCGAGTTCCTGATGAGGGGGGGGTCCCTGAGCCCCCCCATCAGCCCCCTCCCCCCCGTTTCGATACCTCTTCCCTTCTCTTTCCTTAGTTTGTCATTCAACTTTGGTATAGTATACCTTGCCATCCGGAAGGCCTCCACCTCGCTTTGCTGACCACTAGGACAGAGACCGAAGTTCAAGGTATGGTACTTGTATGTAGTGGTTGAGAAGCAAAAAAAGGAAAGAGGAGGAGGAAAAAAAAGCACCAAAGGTGCTCGCTTTATTCCAGTGGATCATGTTTCAGTCCCCGTAGGCTTCCGAGCGAATTGCGTCGTACGGTACCCGTACTTTGCTCTGCGACAAGGTTCCCGATTTCTTGTATCCGCAGTAACGAAGGGAGAAAAAAAAAAAATCATCTTTGACCCTGCAACAGCAATGGAGAAACGGCTAAAGAGGAACCACAATCTATACAGATTCTTCTTCTCCTTCTGCATCTTCAAGTTCCTCTGCATCCTATCCCTTTCCCTTTCCCTCTCTAACCTCCCCACCTAACCTAAGCGGCGTGTGGTAGTCCCCTCCACAGCCCGTATCGTATTCTCGCAAAAATAGGGTGGCCACATAAATGACATAGGTTACCAGCATCCTGCGACCTGCAACTGTGGTAGTAAAAAGGAAAAACCCCTTACGACAAGCACAAGTAACTATGATATACCTGCACACGGGTAGACTACTGCCAGTAACCCCCAGTGCAACCCAACTCCCCCACCAAGGCACCTCACGCTGTACTCGAGTATGATACTATACCAAAGGTTAGAATACGGTAATAATGCGGCCCACACCACATAAAGTCGTACTGTACCGGTATCACCACCCCTTCACCCACTTCAGCAAACAACAGAGGGAGAGAGGGGGAGAGAGAGATGTAAATCTATGAGTATCGCTGTAGCACATCCCACACCCCGACGCGATTTGTGGCTGTCCAAGCAATACCAAACCAAGGGTCTGAGCGAGACATCTCGATTGGTGGAAATCACCCTGCGTGCGAAACTTCGCGCGCGCTTCCAAGGGCTATCCCCAGTTTGACCTCGCGCTGTCTTATGTATTCAAATTCCGAGCCAGGTGGGCCTCCTCACCCGCTCCGTCGAATCGAAATTTCCAATGGTCTTATAACGGGCGGGGCTTCCAAACAAAGGATGTGTGCGAGAGACAGATGTCCATTGCCCACCATGTTATGATACTGGTACCGGTAAAGTGACAGTACCGGTACTCGAATACCGGTACTGGATGACGGTATCACCATTGTCGATGATTTACGGTCATTTGGCCTGGACTTCCGGCGCGGTACCACCATACTGTACTCGAGGAGTAAAGTTTGTGATGTCGTAAAGGGGTCCAACGCCCCCCTCCCTCCCAATTCTGGCGAGTCACGTCTTATCGGATGGTAGGTGATGGCGCGAATACTCCGCACTGTACCCTACTGTACCGGCGCACGGTATGGGGATGGCAAGATGGGAATCCCAGAAAAATAAAACACAAACACATAAAAATGCAGAACAAAGAAGAAAGGAAAGACGTGGCTCCTGGCATTCTTTACTTCTTTGAGTATTAAGGGCAAATGAGGGAGCGAGAGAGAGCGAGAAAAAAGAGGAAAAAAAGGAATCCACCATAACTCCCGTGTGATATGCGGTTGTGGAGTTGTGTGCGACCCTTTCGTCTCCCTCACCAATAACTCGCGCCTCATCACGCAAGAAAAGAAAAGAAAAGA